TGAGGAAGAGTGCCTTTTCCATATCAGTAGCTCCTCAGCTGGTCCCCAGAGGCTGATTTCAATGCCAGGCTCTCTGCCAGGAGGAGAGCTCGTGCCTACTTGGACCACGAGAGAAGCGTGGCGGCAAGATCAGCAAGAGTGATGATCTAAGTGGGCAATTTCTTCACCATCAATATGTAGAGCCCTCAGAGGGCCAGAGTGAGCAATTTGTAGCCTGTGTCACTGACTCAAGACGTCACTCTGTAATTGTTCACTTTTACTTCTTGTTCTTACGACAGCCCGTTTAACCCTTTTAAGCACATAGAATTTAGCAATTAGTGATTTCACAAAATGTCATTTTTCCAGTGAGGACTTCCCTTCTTTCATGCTAGTCTCTGTCTCCTTGCAGCTGGTGCCTGTGTCTTTTTAACCCCTCTATCCACACCTCGCTGTCTCTTTACTCCTTTTTTCAGGATTGCCGCAGAGCAAAGTAGTAGGTTGGCAAAGTATAGGAGCCTACGATAGACCCCCCCCCATTTGTAACAAATGAGTCGGTCGTGCATCCAGGCTGAAGTAAGGGCATCCTCACAGACTGCATCCACAGTGCATTTCCATAGTGGCTGGCAATGTGCATGGCTGTGTGGTGCTCACTCATTCTAACTCCAGAGTGTTCACATGTACTTGCCCCCCCCCCCCTCCCCACAGTTTGCCTCTTACTCATCCCACCATGTTCATTGCTAGCCATAGCCATACCAGCATTTGCTAATCCCTCCATTGTGGTCTAACACCCGTGGTCCTGGTTGTGCCATTAGTGACATGTTTTGTGTTCATGAGTCAAGGTGTGCATCGTCCAGATCTTAAGACATTTGTCATGAGAGTGTGTCCCCCGTTCTGTTTGTCCTGGAGGGGGTGCACATTGAAATGCATGATCGACCCCTTACATGACTTCATGTCAAAGATCAGGTGTTAAATAAAGGTTTTTAATTCATCTCATGTTTGTTACAACTAATGTTTGCTTTTTTTTTTATCTCTTCCACAGAATTGAGAAAAAATAAGAGAGAAAAAATAAAAAGAAGACACTGATGAAGCTCATTTTTTGTTTCCAAGGAGTCATTTAACGATGCATCAAATCGGACTTTAAACACGGCGTGGCAGTTCAAGAATCCAATCAACAGTTTAAACGTGCAGTTTGTCTGTGTTGCCAAAACGGAAGAAATTGAGATATCGCAGCGCCTACCGAGGACAAACGCTCACTGACAGATACCCTGCACTGTAAAGCTACTGATCATTGCACTTCATCTTCCTGTGAGATTTGTTTTCTTATTGTCCAACATGCCAGTGTTTTCGAAGTGAGCTGGGATTTTTGTTTGAGGTTTCTTTTTGGTTGATTTGTGTGGTTTTTTTTGTACATTCCCCTCTGTTTTTTCGCTCAGTGCCCATTTCACCTCGTAACAGAAGCTGTTAGTCACCATGTCTCAGCTGGTAAAACACCGTTGGCAGCAGCACTGTCACTATGCCAGTGTGTTTGCCTGTTTTGGTGCATCAGATGTGTAGGAGGAGCGGTAGTCTCCTATTTGATACAGCGTCAGCGTCCCCCCCAGAAAAATGGTTAATAATAAAATATGGGCAATTTTGAGGATATGAGGTTTTTGTAATGAAGAAGAGGAAATAAAGAATTTGAGGTGAATCTAAGTATATTGTTTTTCTTTAGTAGAAACCTACAACGTTTTTCTTTTGAAGGGATTGGAACAGTTGAGTGGAGACAGGAGAATCTGTCGCAATCTAATCGTTGACCCAGTAGAGGAAGAAGGTTATTCAGACTCTTCAAATATCAATAACACTATAAATTACTTGAAGTTCCCTCTTTGTGTTTCCTTGCTGAGCTGCTGAGGAGCATCAGTAACATATTGTACTCAAAAGACCATAACTTGGACTACTGAAGCATCACATAAACTTCAGCGTAATTTGGAATGTATTTTTGCACAGACTGAAATTGTGTTGTCCCTATTTTTCAGTTGTGTTAGGAGGAAATCTCTTTGTGGCCAGTATGGAGAACCATGGCACAACCAACAACTCTTGTACATACAGCAGGTAAAATAAGTATTGAACACATCACCATTTTTCTCAGTTAATATATTTCTAAAGGTGCTATTGTCATGAATTTTCACCAGATGTCGGTAACAACCCATACAATCCACACATGCAGAGAAATCAAACCATAGATGTCCATAAATTAAGTTATGTGTAATAATGTGAAATGATAGGGAAAAGGTATTGAACACATGATGAAAAAGCAATCCTGCCACTTGTCAGTGCAAATTAATATCGGCTGGTTCAGTCCCAACTGATGGCCTATAAAAAGGTGTCTCATCACCAAGGTGTCCCAAGAAACATCTTGGGTAAAACCATGGCAGAGACCGTGGCAGCCTTACTGTTGCAAAACATACTGATGGTATTGGTTACAGAAGGATTTCTAAACTTCTGAATGTTCCAGCGAGCACTGTTGGGGCCATAATCTGGAAGTGGACAGAGCATCATTTCACCATAAACCGGCCACGGCTAGGTGCTCCTCGCAAGATTTCTGACAGAGGAGTGAAAAGAATTATCAGAAGAATTGTCCAAGAGCCAAGGACCACTTGTGGAGAGCTTCAGAAAGACCTGGAAGTAGCAGGTACAATTGTTTCAAAGAAAACAATAAGGGAAGGGAAGGGAAATACTGGGAGAATATAGTCTGTTCAGATGAGACCAAAATTGAACTCTTTGGATCTCATAATACGCAGCATATTTGGAGGTCAAATGGCACTGCACACCACCCCAAACACACCATACCCACTGTGAAGTTTGGAGGTGGGAACATCATGGTGTGGGGCTGTTTTTCAGCATACGGCAGTGGCAAACTTCATATAATTGAAGGAAGGATGAATGGAAAAATGTGCCGAGACATTCTTGATAAAAATCTGCTGCCATCTACCAGGATGAAGATGAAACGAGGGTGGACATTTCAGCAAGACAATGATCCCAAACACACAAGCAAGGAAACTCTCAGTTGGTTTCAGAGAAAGAAATACTTTTTCCCTGTCATTCCATTTTATTACACATAACTTTAATTTCTGAAATTATTTATTTTGGTTTCTCTGCGTGTGTGGATTTCATGGTTTGTTACCGACATCTGGTGAACATTTCATGACAATAGCACCTTTTTAGAAATATATTTATTGAGGAAAAATGGTGACGTGTCCAATACTTATTTTACCCGCTGTATCTGTAACATATATGTAAGCAGTGTTACAGTGGTGCCCGGGGAAGTGGGATTGGTTTTAAGTTGGAGTTTAATATCATATTCTACCCTTATAAATACAAGTTTTTACCATCAGCAGAAGCAGTTTTACCATGAGACGGTGGCATTCTGTTAACAGAAATTTAACCGTCTAATATTAAAAAAAAAAAGTTCCTTTACAATGCCGTATAGATAAAGGTTTTGCCATCAGATATGACTGTTTTACTTACTTAATTGCATTTCATCTATTTAGAGTCTACAGTCTTTTACTGTCATGATTTGACAGTTTTTCACTGTAAAGTCTACAGACGTGTTTTACAGTGTACTGAAACAGTGGAATGTAGAGCAATTAGCAAACTGACTTATAATACCTGTTACTCAGCAAAACACCTGACCAACTCAGGCTGCAGCAGTAAAACACCTGAGGGTATTAAACTGAGCAAGGGTGTGTTTTACTGCTCATGAATGTAACTTCTCATTTATGAGAGCACAGAGGGGGTTATTTCTTCTACTTTAATTCCAGCTGTGACGAACCAAAATGTCTGCTGTGAAAAAGGTCAATTAGGGGTTCTTTGCAAACAGGTGCCAGCAACCTAACAGGAGAGTGAGGGGAAAATATCAAGCACAGTCTGTGAGCACTCGCAATCCTGAGGAGTGGTCTAATCAGCCTACACAAGTGAGAACACCTGTAACGCTCCTGAAAACACGTTTCCTCAGCCTCTTACTATGAGGGATTTATCACATGAGAGAATTCTGTATCTTTTTGTGTGAGCTATTTTTACTGGTTTGAAGTGGGTGGGGCTCAGATGGAAAACGTGATGTCACGTACCTCCATGCACCAATCAGAATTCAACACATTTGAATCCTAATCTGATGACTGTGGGTAGTCAAACCAGAAACACACAGCCCTGATGAAGCAGATTAGCTGAGTTTTAATAAATAGAGCCATAACATGCTGTTTAAACTCTGATTGCTCCTTATTTATTCAGAAATATGTAGTAATAAACAAATCCAAGTTTCCAGAGGTTTTAAAATATCCACGCTATCCTTGAAGTACATGTTTTATCAGCAGAATATGCCACAATGAGTCATGTAAAAATACTGTGCAGAATGGCTCATTCAGTGTTACATCATTACATATATTACTGGATAATTATAACTGATGCATTGCTGCCTAAGCAACAATATTGCTGATTGAGGGGGAGCACATGTATACCATTGGTAGTTTAATAAATGTCAATACATTGTATTTATGTGGTTATAAATTTTCAAGGCTGACTAATTGTGCAAAGTGGGTGACTGAAGAGGAGGCCCACAGCTAATTTAATCCATCCAAGTATCTAATAACTGCAGCTGTCAAACACACACAGTGGTGTAAAAAGGTGCAATATTTTCCTATGAAAGGTGGTGTAGTAGTTTATTATGTAAATCATAAAATAGAAATACTCAAGCTGTGGACAAAAGCGGTAGTGTTTTTACTGCCTAGTTCATTGATTTCAAGGGGAATCCGATCCAGTAGCAGGCATTAAGAATAACTATAGAGAAATAGCCATCTACTTGCTGATGGTCTTGTTTGTTTATGTAGGTCGTACAGAGGTATCAGTATGAAATTAAGACTGTTTCTTAACCACTTAAAAATACCTTGTAGTAGGTTTAAGCAGCAGTTACAGTATGTCTGTTAAAGAAAGATTGCACAACTAAAGTTCCTCAGTGGCATTTCTTCCACAGTGATGAGCTGGGCTGCTGGTTTTCTTCACAGCTTTATTGGCAATACAAAAATGACAATATCATTTCCATGTGTAAAGAACAGGTCGGAGGGAGTATGAGAAAACAAGCAGTGATGGTTATGAATAGTGCAGTGGCGAGGAGCTTCAGTGTGTTTGATCCACCAATCTCAACTCAGCAGCCTGTAAAGAGGAAAGACTCAGTTAGTGAAGGACTTGTTATTTCTGAAGGCTTTCAATGGACCTCTTAGCTCCCCGGTGTACAGGTTAGGTATGGTATTTATTTACCTTGACCTCATGACATCCCCGCGCACGCCTCTATATCTCTGGTTGCTCTGGATGGATGTAAGGTCTTCTTTATAGGTCCCTTCATAGATATCCGACTGACGTTTCATGTAGCTTTCATCTCTGTGGAGACAAAAAACATCAGTTATATACAGTATGTTTGATTGTGTATTCCTGTCGGTGCCCTGAAAACACGCAGCGTTGCTTCTGTTGGGTACGCAGACTGAAGTTATATCATTCCTCCTGTGCTACCTACCCCAGCCGTTTGCCCATGATCGTCTGAAGGAACTTCCTGGCAGAGATTTGGCCCAGGACTTTCCTGTAACTGTTTGTAAAGATGGCATCAGCGTGTCGTCCTGAGCTAAAATCAGAAGGTGGAGAATTTACTACACGACAACTGTCTACAGTTACTACGCTAGTAAAAGACTCATATTGAAGTCAATTTACAATAGACCTTTTTCACAGCTGCCATTTTGACATGTAATAGTAGGGTACATACATACATACGTTACTAGTGATAGTAATTGAAGTTTTGTTCCATTCAAACAGAGTCAGGGTGCTGAAAAAGCCCTGCTACACTAAATGGAATAGAACCTTAATTAGTATCATTGGTAACACCTGTGTTTACCCTACTATTTCATGTCAAAATGGCTGCTGTGAAAAAGGTCCATTGTCCAGCTTAAAGAATCAGTTCACCAAATTATAAAAAAATAAAACACATTTCTTCACTAAAAGGTCCAGTGTGTAACATTGAGGAGGATATATTGTCAGAATTGGAATATAATATTCATAGGTATGTTTTCATTAGTGTATAATCACCTGAAAATAAGAATTGTTGTGTTTTCGTTACCTACAGAGGGAGCAGGTCCTCTTCTACAGAGTCCGCCATGTTGAACTATCACGTTTGTGTTTTTCATGGCCAATATAGTTTCTCCTACACACTTCACAGCTCGTACTCATTCCCAGGTTGTCAAATATAGACATGAACAGTGTTCAGTTTATTTCAATCTGCAACTCCATCGCTAGAGGCCACTAAATCATACACACTGGTCCTTTAAAACCAATGGTCCAGATGTGCAGATCATTTTGGTTTTATTCGCCCAGATGTTGAAATATCCTTCTATCTTACCTTCTTGTGATCAACTTTCTTTGTAAAAAATAAACAGTCCCTATAAAATCTGTACCCAGTCAGGTCTGTGAATTATCCGGAATAACTGGACATGCTGCTGTTGAATTCTTTTAGTATGTAAATTCACTGCTGTGAGCACCACAAAAGCAGATCCATTCACGTCCTTTGTATTGTGGTGGAGGCAGGAACCTTGGAGGCATAAACCAAGTCTGTCTGCACTGTTAGATCCTACTACTGGTAAGTGAGAAAAAATATGTTTTTTTTTTTTTATTTAGGTAAACTGCTGCTTAAGCTGTATTTTAGATCAGCCTCTCTATTGACAAACTGACCGTAACTCTGCTCGCTCCCTGGGGGGGCTCGTGTCTTCCTCCAGCTGCTCTGCTGGATTCTTTATAGAAGATGTCATCAGGATGGATGTATCCCTCTGGCCGAACCTGAGAAATATCCCCGTTAACTAAATGAGTGTAGAATATTCCAATATCTCCACACACATTATACCATAGTAAATACATTTTAATTCCTACCTAGAACAGAAAGTGATTTAATTATTACAGACTTTAGTTCGGTGAAGATGGGTTTTAAATAAAATAATATATATACTGTATATGTGCCCAAATTTACTACAAAATGCTCTAGCTCTTGTAAAATGAGAAATTCTGCTGCTTCGGCAGAGGACAGTGTGATTAAGGTTCTATGTGTAAATGTAACATGGTGACTAATGCGGACATCTTGACCCTTTTTAGCATAACAGTGCAGAGGGCACAGCTTTGACATGCAAAGTAATCAGTGAAAGGTTTAAAACATCATACGATACGTGCACGGATGTTGGATGCGACCATTCTTTCAGCCCTAACACTGGAACCAACTCTCAAATCAAACATCTTTCTTTTAACGTCACTTTATGTTTTCCATTTAGAGCTTTCTAACCATTTCAGCTGTTCCCAGAAGCTCAGCAACATTTAACGATACAGAGAATCCACACAGTGGATTCTGTGTGTTTGACCTGGTCAGAATTCTATTAATAATATCAGAAATTCAAAATAATATTCTTTAGCCACTTTTGAGTATTTCTGCTGCCAGCTTCAGGTGTCTACAGATCTGAACGGCTGGGTTGACCAGTCATAAAGGATTTAAATAACTTTAAAAACACTGCAAAACACGAAGACTAAAAATCAGTATTGGAAATGAAGACGACATGAAGAATTTTAGTAAATCTGTCAAGACTTACCTAATGGATGGGTGGTAGAGCGGGGAGCCTGATAAAGACATGACCAGGCAACAAAACAGCAGCAGTGCAGATTTCTCCATCCTCACAGCTGGTCCCGGAGAATAAATGACAGGAGTAGAAATTACATTAGAAAAAACGCTGAAACCACAGTTCCCCTCTCAACCAGCCTCATCGCTCTGCACAAGGCACTGAAGTTGCAGCAGGCTGAGACATGATGGAAAACACCAACATTTCATTTAAAATATTAAAACTGGTCAAAGAACAGAATATATGAAAAATGTTTCATATACTCATTACCTTTACACGTGGTGGAAGAGTTAGATAGAGATATTCCGTGTGGATTCTGAGAGCCCCTGCAGTTCCTCTTTATTTGGTGCCCTCCACTCTCATCATCTCTCACTGCCAGGAGAGGACCGGACAAAAGAAACAGTGGAACAGTTCTGTTTGTTACCCCTGCATCCATGGTCAGTTTATACTGAACCTGTAGCTCCCAGTCACTCCCACATCACACATGATCTCTCTATCCCTCTTCCCCTCTCTCTCTCTCTCTCTCTCTCTCTCTCCTTGAGCTGAGCTGTCTGCATGCTCTCTCTTTCTTTTTGTCCTTGTCTGGCTTTCTCAAATTCAAGTTTGCTTTATTGGCATGAACAACAGGGTTTACGATATAAGTATAATTATATAGAATGTAGAAAAAAGGGTGGTAAAATGGTACCAAAAAAAACAAAGGTTGGCATACTACTAATACATACTATATTGAAAGAAAAACAAATTATTGCAAACAATTAATATACAACAAATATTTTATAGTATTGAAAATTAAATTAGATGTAACTTTGAGAACATAATTACATTAGCAGCCGTATGCAAATTGTTCCTTAAAATAATGTGACTACAGCCGCTGATTGTTAAGGAAATACAAACACATCTATTGACCTTCATTTCAAAGGATTTTGTCCATTAACCTGGTGGGAAAAACAAAGAAATAAACAAAAACAAAACAGGAACACATACAAAAGTGATGAAAAAACACATATGACTGCCTCATATTTACATATACATACTCATACATTTGAATAAACAGCTCTCTGACACATTTTTGGAAAAGACATTATGTTTCATTGACTGTTAGACTATTGATTGCAGGGGCACAGACTGGCACTGGGAATATTTCTATCTGGAGAGGTTCATAAAATGGTGGAACTGTTTCTTTATTTGATCTCCCCCCATCCTCGGACCCAGTTTTGGACCATAACGTGAAAAATAAGTGTTTACCGCACCTCCCACCAATAAGTGCTCAGCGTCCGCGTCCGGAACGTTTTTCATAACGTCAACTAGTTTTCTTTTTCTTTTTGACGGACCGAGAAATTGGACGTACCGGGGGACATGGTTTGGCAAACGGACTGTCGGCGATGTGAGAGGACTATCTGTCGTCTACTTCCATGTTTGTTGAGCGGGACATAGTGAAGTAATAAACCATGATGTTTTCTGTCTCGGTCCTCATAATTCAACCCAACAGTGCACTAACTAATAACGTCGTCTGGGTAAAGTGGCTCGTGGTTGTTTAAAGGAACAGTCACAACTGTTTGACGCACGGGCCTCTGACTCTCCGTTAACGTGAAACACGAAATCCTCTCCGTGGTAGTTGTGGTGGTAGTTGTAGTAGTTGTTGTGGTGGTAGTTGTTGTGGTAGTTGTACATTAGCTGCTGTAAGGTAGGACGTCTTCCATCGTCACCCCAACTGTCCCCAGTTATTACCTAGCAACAGTCGTAGTTTTGAGAGCCAGACGCTTTTCCCGGGTTTCTGTACGGTCACTTTGAAACGGGGAGATACTCCTCTTGATATTAATATTATCTTTGGCTCCACATGAGAACAGTCCCTCAATGACATTTAGCCAACGTAGCTAGCACATACAGCAGTTGTACAGTAAGATAAACAAGGGACCAAACGTTAGCCACTTTGGAGGCTAAAAGTAGCTAACTACAGTATATGGTTGCTCTGTTAGAGCTAACTCCGACAGGTAGCTACAGAGACTACCACCTAACTAAACATGGGACACCTCAGGATGTTAAAACCCCTGTTTACCATTCCCCCACACTGGGTACCCATCAGGTGTATCCAACCCAGATATTGCTCTAATCTAGCGAACACCAGTGTGACATCAAGAGAGAGGAGGACAACTGTAGACAAGTTCAAGTCCCAGATATCCTCTGGTCCAAGCTTCCAGGATTTCATCAAAGGAGTTTCAGTTAATAACAAGACTTATGCTGCAGATGGAGAGTGTGAAGAACATAGCTATCTTTCTGAGGACTTGGAGATGGGGAATTCAAGGAAAGGTTAGTCTGCATCACTGACAGCATTGACATTCATTTTGATTGTTTGGGACAAATGCTAAACTTGTGTTCTGTCTTAATATTGCAGTGTATTTTGAAACCTACGGATGTCAAATGAATGTAAACGACACAGACATAGCCTGGTCCATCCTACAGAGGAAGGGATATCAGCGCACGGTTGACCTACGCGAGGTACAGGTGAACTTTATCTTTATACAGTTGTAACATCATTTCAGTCAAAACCGTTAATTCAGATAATCATTGTGCCTACAGGCAGATGTTGTCCTTCTGGTAACGTGCTCCATAAGGTAAGAGAATATCTTCAAAACTAACGATTCTATTCATAATAGATTCATCTGTTGAGCATCTGTTTGGCCTATGAGACGTCAGGAAATTGTTGATCATTCTTTCCCAAAGCCCAAGCGAACGTCCTCAAATGTCTTGTTTTGTCCCCAACCCAGAGATATTCACTTAACTGTCACAGAGGACTAAAGTAAACAGAAAATATTCACATTTGAGAAGCAGAAATCTGAGAATTTTGGCTTTTTTCTGAAAGAATAACCCAAGACAATTCATTGATTACTAACATATTTGGTGATTCATTTAAAGATCAACAAGTAATTGATTAATTGACTAACTGTTTCAGCTCTACTCAGCAACAATCTGAAAAACGTCTGTTTTGCTTGACAGTTTTCCAGTTAAAATTGGCCTTAAAAGGTTTTCATGAGACCACACAAACAAAATCAGGTGCACCAGCTAACGGAGAGACTCCAACTCTTCTCTTAACAGAGAAAAAGCTGAACAAACAATTTGGAATAGACTACAAGAACTGAAAGCGATGAAGAAGAGACGGTTAAAGACCCACACACCAATGAAAATTGGGATTTTAGGTAAGTTAGTTCACAAACATGCACACATTTGACTCTCAACGGAGGCTACAAAGATACACTGGTGGTTGTGTGTGTCTAGGGTGCATGGCAGAGAGGCTGAAGACGGAGATTTTGGAGCGGGAGAAGCTGGTAGATGTTCTCGCAGGTCCAGACGCCTACCGGGACCTTCCCCGCCTCTTGACTGTAGCTGACGGAGGTCAACAGGCAAGCAACGTACTGCTGTCCTTAGAGGAGACCTACGCTGACGTCATGCCTGTCCACCACGCTCCTCAGGGACGCAGTGCTTTTGTGTACGTTGTTCACATAGCAGCTATGTTTAGGAAGTGACTCACCCTATATCACCAACTCCTGTCCTCCTATTTTCTACTGCAACACATTTGTCTTTATATTATGACCTCTGATGACTTAGTGTGCGTCTTTTATGCTGCCAGGTCCATCATGCGAGGCTGTGACAACATGTGTAGTTACTGCATTGTTCCCTTCACCCGAGGGAGAGAGAGGAGTCGACCTGTCAGCTCCATACTTGAGGAAGTTCGTATGCTGTCGGAACAGGCAAGTTATAACCTCAACACTAAAGTCGGTCAGCTAAACTGCTACACCTGTTTAATACAATAAGACATGCACTGATAGCAATACTAGAATAGTATTGACTGTGTGTGTGCGGTGGGTGTTTTTGTTCAGGGTGTGAAGGAGGTGACTTTGCTGGGTCAGAACGTGAACAGCTACAGAGACACGTCAGAAGAACAGTTCTGCAGCTCAGACCTGACCCAGCTCAGCCGGGGGTTTAAGACCGTCTACAGAACTAAGCAGGGGGGCCTGCGCTTCTCCGACCTGCTGGACCGAGTGTCCCGCATCGATCCTGACATGAGGATCAGGTTCACTTCCCCTCATCCCAAAGATTTCCCTGACGAGGTACATGATTCAGTCCTCATTGCAACCCAGTGTTGATTTCCACGTATAGATGGCCCCCTTTCCGTGTACAGTTCTGTATAAACATGGATGAACGAGGCTTCCTGACCTGGTCTGTGTGCTGGTGTCGACAGGTTTTGCATCTGATCGCGGAGCGAGGCAACATTTGTCAGCAGATCCACCTTCCGGCCCAGAGTGGGAGCAGCAAGGTCCTAGAAGCAATGCGCCGTGGGTAAGAGACGACTATGCTTGTTTCCAAACTAAATCGCCAAAGTAATTCAGTCTGTAAAGTTTGTTTAAGAGTCTCTTAAAGTATTCTAACATGTGCTTTTCTTATAAAATGTACAGCTACACGAGAGAGGCCTACCTTGATCTGGTGAAGAACATCAAGGCGATTATGCCAGGTGGGCTGTGAAAACCAGAATCATAGATGCAGTGGACAAACCTATGCAAAACCTTCTGCCTCGTATCACTCTGCTAAGCCCCTCCCACTCAACCCACAAGTTCTAACGGCAGCCAATAGGAACGCCCTCTCTCTGAAGTGATCTGCGATTGGCCAGAGTCTTCCGTCACAGGCTAGATTTTCGAAAGGCTGAAAATAGAGCCAACAGGAGGTGCACAAGTCTAGGTTTTTCTCAGACCACTCAGAATTACAATATGCTGAAAGGTTATTATGGGATTGTTGCCCAATGATGCCCCCAAAAAAGCTGCCGGCCCCAGCTTTAATCTGTTCCTTTAATTTGCATAGATAGAAAGAGTACTCGAGTATTTTACTCAAGAAGAAGTAAAAAATCTTAAAAGTAGATCAGTATTAAAAGGTGGAATGTAACCTGTTTATGGGTCTCACTTTAATCAATAGTTTATGATTAACAGTAACTTCTCTAACTTGACTTCCTTTTTAAAATCACTGCTCTCCTGCACTTGCACACAGTAAGGAATATTACTTCTCCTTACATCTGACTTTAAGGGCATTTGCTTTGGTATTATCAACTTGATAAAGTAGTGTGTGATCTCTGTTTAACATTAATATGTCTGTGCGTCAGAGGTGAGTCTCAGCAGTGACTTCATCTCAGGCTTCTGTGGTGAAACAGAGGACGACCACCAGCAGACTCTGTCTCTGATCAGAGAGGTGGGCTACAACGTGGGCTTCCTGTTTGCTTACAGTATGAGAAAGGTGGGCACAAAAAATGTTCTGTATCTTAGAATAAAAACCAAGCTGTTATTATCAAGCGTTCTTTTCAGTCGGTCAGGTAGTTCGTTTTGTAACTGCTCTGCTGGTTTCCTCGCTCAGAAAACCCACGCCTTCCATCGGCTACAAGATGACGTGCCAGCAGAGGTGAAGCAGCAGAGGCTGGCGGAGTGCATCCGTGTATTCAGAGAGGAAGCTGCGAGGGTCAACGCTGCTCTCATTGGCAGCATGCAGCTTGTCCTGGTGGAGGGAGTGAGTACTGCATGCATGGCTGATACAGCCTTCATCTCCCTTAGAAAATGCATGAATTGACAGTTTGCTCAAACACACATTTTATTAATCTTCCCCAGAAAAGGGTACTGCTGCCTCTCTGTACAGCTGCCTGTGTTAAAGATAGCTCAGATTGAGATGGCACTAGCTATTTTTTTAAGAATGCTGTAATGGAAGAAAGGGAAGAATAACCATAGTTTTATTGTTTTTGGCCGTGGCGATGCTCTAAAGATGGCCTGGCTCAGCAACGGTGTGTTGGTCGTCCATCACCTTGCTTCAGACTGAAATGTCTCAACAACTATAAGATGGATTTCCATTTAACTTACATATATATTAATGCTGCCCTAAGGGTGATTCCTAATGTCTCTGTTGATCCTCGAGCGCCACCATGAGATTCACATGATTCACATGAAAGTGAGCTAATGTGGAGTGTACAACATCATCATGAACCCTGCATCATTCCAAAGTCAATAACAGAGAGTCAAAACTAGGCCTACCGGAAAATGATATGATCGTTGAGGGGAGGATTGATTGGCTGCTATAGATATACCGAAATTGGTTTAGTAATGTGTAACACTGCTCACCATGGATACGGCTAGTAGTCTTGTATAACTGTACTGGGTTACTGTAACCTGTTACCAGGCAACAACGTTCATCTCTGGTTTCCATTTTACTTTTAGGAAAGTAAAAGATCTGCCAAGGACCTGTGTGGGAGAACTGACGGTAATATGAAAGTGATTTTCCCCAAAGAGGATGTTGCTGCTCAGAATGCAGAATCCAACACTGCACCGGTCAATGCTGGAGACTATGTGCTGGTGAAGGTAAGCTTTGGTTATAGATAGTACATCTTTAAAGAATCAACACGTTGTTAAGTTTTTATTCAAAACAGAGCTATATATTAGTTTATCACAGATAGATTGGCATTGATTGGCTGATAGTGAATAATGAGAAACTGCAGTACACAAATGCCGCAGACAGGTTTATGGTAATGTAGGAACTGTTACTGATACATAGTTTCTCCACCGGAGAGCACTGATAAGTTGTAGAATGTAACATATAAAATGTCTCACCGTTTACACGGACACAATAAGTTAGGGCCGTTTTTGTTGTTCTTTTTGTCTGTATGCCCTTGGTGTAATGTGGGCGGAGCTCAGTGGGGACAAATTGATGTCACATACTTCCATGCATCAATCAAAATGAGTAACATTTTAATCAGATTCTGATGACTTGTTGGTGGGTCAGTCAAAGCTGATCAGTCCACACCCACGCAGTCCTGATGAAGCATTAGCTGAGTTTTTCCAACCTACTACAAGGGGTTTCAGATTCCCCTTGAAATCAATGAAATGAGGAGGTGGAATCACTACCGCTTTTGTTCACAGGGGGCCCCAGAATCAACGCAAAGTTCCTTATACAGGGTTAAGGTGTTCATAAGCTCTTAATAAATAATACCTAGCAATGTTTTTTATACTTTGATTGTTGCTTAGTCACAAATATGTAATGTTCTGGATACATACTTAAGATTTAAGGCCAAGTTTTCAGTGGCTTTACATTTTTCTTTGTTGATGTTTTGTTATCAGATTTTTCTCTGCTATCGCTCTAAAACATCCAGTAATGCTCATGCTCAAGTGTTTGGGTCTAGGCGTGCCTTTTAATAAAATCATGTAAATCTCATGTTGACATTTGACACACCAAGCATCACAAAAAAGGTGAAAGATTCTAGCATTAATAAACTGCCTGTTTCCTGTCTGTCAGTGGTACAGTAGGATCGTCACAGTCAGTAACTTGAAGGCCTTATCTGACACTTTCAAAGCTTTCCTCATCCACTCATCCATTCTTTGATGATTTGTGTTTTTTAATATAGATATTGTCGGCCAACTCCCAGAGCCTGAGAGGCCGAGCCCACAGTCACAGCTCGCTGAGAGAGACAGTGAAGCACTATGAGGCTCTACCCAGACATCAGCTTGATGAACATGTGGACTCAGACGCGACCGCCATTAAAACGGGCCCCTGATTGACGCAGTTGACACCACAGGAAACAAAGTAGTACGCTGACTTCTTCTATTGAATGACTTTGACACACGGAGACTGTTTCTATGTGAAGTTTGGTCATCTTATTAACTATGAAAACCGCATTGTGTTATTTATACAGTCAGTACTACCTATGTGTATGTACGTATTGAACTGAACCCTGTTAAGATGATGTAAATTATAGTGTTTGTTTAGTACAAACTACTGTGGCTGATTTGTTTTGTCTGAAGCGGGGCTGCTTGATTGATGTGTTGGCATTTTTTTTTCATGGGACTCTCCAAACTGCAGTAAAAATGTCATGGATCAGCACATTTGTAGAATTGCTCTGTGAGCTACAAAGTCAGAAAGTTTGAGAAAGAATTTGCCCAAAGTCAGCAGCAGAAAGTGCCGTGATCTGCTTTGGAAGGAGTATGTTATTACAAAAAGATGATTGCTGTGACAAACAGCAAACCCTGTCCTCCAGACTGTGTTCTGACACAACTGCAGTTATCCCCGTTCACTGCCCTCATCTGCATTTTATATTTACAAAACTTTGTCTGAGTTCACATTTAAAAGAAAAAGAAAAATAGTATAAAGAACAGAAGAGTGATATAAAATTCTCAGGAGATACAAACAGGATATCTGTGACATATTTCTCAGGCGTGGAGAGCATCATTTCTTTTTGTTTCTTAAGGTAGCTGTACAGGCTGTGATCGTGTCTTGATGGTGGGATGCCCCAGTGCAGAAATGAATCCTGGGAGATTCCAGAAATTCCATTCAACCCGTGAACTGAACATCTGTCCCAATCAGCATATAGTCCTAGAGACAAATACAGCACAGCAATAGCAGTTAGTAACAGCTTTGAAAAGGATGAATGCTGATGTTTTCTACTACACTGCCCTCATTAAAATCCATGTCATATAATAAATGCAGCTTGTTCAAAAAATTGGGCTTTTATGGCAGATATCCAGTCTCTGACCTTCAGGACCTGAAGCTGAGTGTTCACAAGCTTCATCTTTCCAAGTGTAGGAAGTGGGTATCCCTTGGCAAGTTGAACTGCGATGAAGAAAATCATACATTTGGTCAAACTAGTCACAAAAATCCAATGTGGCAAACATTATAGTGATATTATTATTAGGGGATTTCTGTTTAATTTTAATTACATGGAACAATGCCTTGCCATGAAGCTCAAAGTGCTTTGCATAAAAAGATAATCATTAAATGGATAAACATAAAAAAGAATTACACCAGGAAGTACAACACACGCTGTTCAAATAAAACTTTAATCTAAGAGGAATCAATGAGTTTAAAACTGGTGCAATCTAATTACAATGAAAAAATTAAAAAAGAGATGAAAAGCAATATAAATATAGACATTGTGGTTAAAAAAGACTAGTTTGACTTTCTAAAGTTTTTAATTAAACCTGAATTCAAACAAATTAAAAATGTAATATAGTTTTGAACGCAACATTGACACATCACCTTTCATGTTTATATTACAAACTATAGCAAAACTATAGTTAATTTACACATCCAGCAGTCACAGTGCAACATTATCATTCATTTGAAGTCCAATATTCACTCTCTTTTAGCTCGGTTTTTGGTCTTCACCAACTCCTGAGGGAAATATCTGGCTCTTTAGCTGCTAAATGCTCCACTATGTTCACCAGTTAGTCTCTAACTGTGTCTGTCTGCTGTTTGCTGCTGAGCAGGTAGTGTACGCTGGGTTCTTCTTTAAAAACAGCTTCCTGCTGAGGCTGAAAACAACTCTTAAGGTGGAAGTGAATCAAAACAGTAAAGTTGTGGGCCAACAGCTAAACAATGAGCTGAAATTCACTACTGAAGGTGTAAGTTCAACACTATGAGTGACCTCTTTCACATTGTTTTCCTATTGTCATTTGATACATTATTATTATTATTATTATTAATAAATGTAGCTATTGTAGCTGCTTTACAGAAAGCCACAATCCCAGTTTCCTCTGACGGGGGTGTAAGGACATTTATTCAATTAACTCAATTAATTCAATTATTGAGGATGATCAAAGAGGGTGTGATGCGACATAAAATAATAAAGAAAACTTTGTCAAAGGCTATTTAGAGCTTTGAATATAAGAAATCAATTAATATCAATTTTAAGAGTTACAGGAAGCCAGTGCAGCCTGACCACAACTGGCTTAACATATTCTCTCTTTTCTGTTTTATATAGCACGCAGAGTTCAGAATCAACTGAAGTCTGCCAGTAGAGCATTTAATGACAGTACAAACTGAAAATGAAAGCACTCACCGTTCAGTTTAGGTATCACTACCACTTTGAGGACCATTTGGAGGATGTTGTCGAGGGATCCCACCTGCAGGTTAGGGTTAGGATTAGTCAGTTAGGTTGGTACAGATTGTACACACTGCAACTCGTGTTTAGAGTTTGCTCACCTGAAAGTCTCCCACATAACTTGTCCCCAGGGTCAGATCCATTCTGTGCAAATTAGGCAAAATTAGACCGTGATCTTCATCTTTACGGGGACCTTTTGGCCCCATTTTTCTCTTCTCAGAGCAAAAAGTGTTTTTTTAGTAACTCACTTGTTTAGGGTGACAGCTCCAGCCAGCTTCACTCCACTGACGTACACTCGGGCGCTGACACTGGTGTCCTGTAAAGGCAATATAGTGAGAGAGTTTTAGCATTTTTCTAAACAACACAGATGCCTTTTTTTTCCCAGTTGTGTAACCTACCATGTTTAGGACAAAGAGAGGGGAAAGTGTGGCGTTGGGTTGGATAGCGTAGGCCGTCACTGTGCCAATGGCCTGAACCGTCATGTTGTTGGTTTCAAAAGTGATGATGGGATCTTTCACCGTCTTCACGAGTAGTTTCATCATCAAACCTGGGAAACGCTTGGCAATCTGAAAATACGCCCAGATATAGCTGACAGGTTGCAGAAGAAGATAGCGCTTCGTATAAAACCATCATAATGTATTGTCACCTGCGGGATGAAGGCTCCAAACGTTCTGGTGTTGAGTCGGATGGGAGAACTTTGCGGGATCTGACAGAGCCAGAAAGGTTGTAGGTCAGTACGATGCCATGAAAATAAATTCATTTAGGGAATAATCAAGAGGATGAAGCTCACCATGTCATCTGTGATGGCCAGGCTGAGGGCTCCAGCTTTGTTGTAGACGAAGGCTGCAGAGTTGGTGGTGAAGGCAGACACGCCGATGTACAACATGTTGTTGATCTGGGGCGCCAGGGTAAAGGGTTTTGGGGAGAACGGAGGCTCCTGATGCTTCCCAATGTTGTAAAATTCACCCTAAATGGCAAAGGAAAGGTTGTGCCATGACTGTCTATTTCTTTATTAACCAAACTCTGGATATATAAAATGTACAGTATACAATTTGTTACCTTCAAGCTGAAGTCTATAGAAGATTTAGAAACTGTGGGCGATGACACCATGGAGTATTCAATCTCTGCATATGGGTCAACCTTGGCTAAAACTGCAGAAAGGTAGAAAGTCTCTCAGATATTCAGCATCAATGAAACATCCCAATATTTGACATAAAGAGAATGTTTTACCATTGAGAGTCTTCAAATGAGGGTTCAAATCAGAGATTGCGTCAGCCACCAGAGGGCAGATCTGCAACAGTAAAGAACAGAGAAACATTTATTCCTGGAGTCCAGAAGAAACTTGATGTAACACAGTCATTTCTGACTGGAGAAAACAACTCTTAAAAGCCCCCAGGGACATACAGAGCTCTTCAGAATCAAATTGTTCTCAGTAAACCAACAGCAGGGGAATGTATTCCTTTAAAAGAATGTTTCATCCACAGTTACTACTATTTTGTGATGATGTCTGACTGAGTTTAATGTTACTGAATTCAGACAAATTTTTCTGTCAGATCAGTACGATTGCAGTTTCTTTGCACTCAGCTTATTTTCTGGAGTGGCTGTATTCACTAAGCATCCTAAGACAAAAAGTTGTTCCCCAAGTTAAGAGGAATTTGAGACTTCATGATTCTACTAGGTTTTTGGTCTTAAGAGTAATTCACAGAGCATATTTGCATTACACCTATGTGCCAGTGGTGGAAAGCATTTGTCAAGTACAGTTATGAGTTACTACCTTACTTGAGTCACAGTTTCTGCTGCTTTATATTTCTACTCCACTACACTTCAGAGGGAAATGTACTTTTTACTCCACTACATTTATCTGACATATGTAGTTACTAGTTACTAAATACTTCTCAATACTAAACACACTCAATAAACTTAAAATAACATAAATACAATAAATTGAAGAAGAATGAACCGGTGATATCCAGTGTTTTTGGCTTGTGATGACTAGTTCAAAGACTGATTTCCCCTCTAAATTTCTCTGATGGTTTTATTTAAATTACTGTTCAAGACCCAACGAGGTAAATGTATCTAATGTTTCACAAAAAAATAAATAAAAAATCCTAAAAATGAACACAAATTTGTGTATCAGGACTCTTCTATTTGTATTTCGACCCTCTGGAGGGAGCCCAACATCTAGGGTTGGGAACCACGGGACCATACAATTAAACTGTATAAAGAACACACAATGCTGCTTACACATTGATGCAGCACTGTCAGCAATCTAATAATGGAATGAAATTCACAAGGGCCATTTTTCTGCAAACCTGAGCTCAACTGAATTTGAATTGAGTAGTTTTACATCAGCCAAAAAAGAAATTCCTAGTTGGGAACTTTTTAGCTGCATTTAGGAGGATTCCTTGTGTTAAAGTAAGAGACTTGTGCAACCCTAGAGAGGAATGGTTATCATCAAACAGTGGGTATAAGGCTGCGTTGCTCTCACCTTGTTCTGCAGTGCATTTCGCAAAGCCTTATCAATGAACTTACTGAAGAGATTGTATAACCAACTGAAACAAAAAGCAAACACAGGCAATAGGGGAGAGTGCAGTACGTCAAGCATGACAAGTACAACTGAAAACTCACATTCCATTCACCCACATGGGGATTCAAACGTAGTGCACAGCACGGTTTCTTTTACCTGGCTCCACCGTGGAATTTAATGCTCGCCTTGCTGACAGTGGCCGCACAGTTTACACTGCTGACCGCAGGTCGGCCAGTCTCATCACTCTTGATGGCAATACTTGAAGTGATAGTGAGTCCGTTCACATTCAAGTCAAAAGAGCCGCTGTCCTTTCTGTCGGGAGAGAGGAGTCACTGCTGCACCAGAAATGTCACAAAATGGATTTAACTGCGCTGCATAAGGAAGAAATCTTTTCTCACTCACATTATTCTGAGGTACTTGACCCTCCAGTTTCCCTGCAGACTGATGAAGGCATTAGTAATGGACAGTCTGACACCAGTCCCTGGCACCAGATCCACTGCAGACTTTGGTAATCCCACATTCACTATGTGCATACTGGAAGAAACAACATTTGTTTGTAAAGGAACTCTTTAGTATCTGAGAGAATTGACAGGAGTGTTGGATTAAGGGGAGCCTTACTTTGTCAGACTGTAGTGGACCTTGCCAATGGGAGACACCCTCTGTTCCCCTGACATATCTGGCACTTTGATGGTTTTGAGTTTCTGCTGAATTGTAGCCATCCCCAGGTCTCTGCCTAGCAAGAGGCAAGAACATTTAATGATCAATCTCTGAAAGGTTGTTGCTTTTAACTAAAATAGGAAACTGGTGCTTACCATATTCAAGCCCTTTTTCTGTTAGTTTGACCTTCACCCCGGGATTGATGCTCACAGTCGTAGGGATCAAAGCCACCAGAGCCAGCCAACAGCACAGGAACATCTTGACTGTCGAGAGATAAAAAGGACAAGATTTTTTTTTTTTTTAAATTGACCATGAGAATAAACCAGGAAAAGTTTCTGGTTTGCTTGTATGCTGTTCTGCAAAGAATATTTGGGAAGCAGTAAATGAAGGCTTCCTCTTTTACCAGAGTGTTTTTACTTTTTATTATAAGTTACTT